AATCGTAGCTCGCTGCAGCCTTGAACTGTTGGGCTCTAAGGCTACTCCCGCCTCAGTCTCCTGAGTAACTAGGACTGTAGGTGTGCACCATCATGCCCAGCTAATTTTTATTTTTACTTTTTGTAGAGACGGGGTCTTGCTATGTTGCCCAGGCTGGTCTCAAAGTCCTGGCCTCAAGTGATCCTCCTATCTTGTCCTACTGAAGTGTTGGGATGGCAGACATGAGCCACTGCACATAGGCCAGCTATTGTTCTTACTTTGGGATGGGGGCATTTTGAAAAGACCAATTCACCTCAAACAGGTACTAAATGAGGATAAAAAAGAATGGTTCATAGCTAACAGGAAAAAAATATGTTGGCCAAAAAAAAAAAATCCATGAACTGTAGATCTGAGCAGAGAAAATGCTATCACTCTAAAAGGATTCTCAGGCTAGGCTAGAAGTGACTCCACAACCTAAACAAAGGTGTGAACAAACATTTAATCTGAAGAATTAATTAAAATTTGTCTTCTTGGAACAAAGCAAAGGAATGAGTCATTCTAGGCATTTCTTAACATGAGGTGCCAAGGCTGGCCAGGGCTCTGCTAGTTGCAGTAGGAGCAGTAGCAGTGGTAGAAGTTGCAGTGGGCATTTCACAGTAATGTGAGCTCTGTGTCCCTAAAGTTGTTCATTTCTCAGGATTTATATTTCCAATTAGGGGTTGCTGCCACTTGATGGTGGAAGTGTTTGTGTCTGTCAAGGATAATGAATTATCAACAAAATACGATCTCATCAAAGAAAAATTTTCATCTAGAATAACCAGAATATTAACTTGAGTATCTCTTACTTGTCAAGCACCATGCTTGGCAGGGAATTACACAGAAGCTTTCTTTCCTTATAAAGGCCAAAGGATGGTCACTGGCTGTGGCATTAGGACTTGTTTACTGTAATCAAAACAGGCCCATCCAGCTTCTGCTCAGGGTCAGCTCATTCTACTTCTGAACCTTTTTTTTTTTTTTTTGTCATATATGGAACATTTGTGTTCTATGTGAACCTGAGTACTCATGGTACAATTTAGCTACCTGACTTCAAAGAGCCAACCTTTGAATATCACAGATTTCTTTGAATATCACAGATTTCACCAGGCTGGGCACGGTGGCTCATGCCTGTAATCCCAGCACTTTCAGAGGGCAAGGTGGGCAAATCACCTGAGATCAGGAATTTGAGACCAGCCTGGCCAAGATAGTGAAAGCCCATCTCTACCAAAAAATACAAAAATTAGCTGGGCATGGTGGTGCACACCTGTAATGCCAGCTACTTGGGAGGCTGAGGCAGGAGAATCGCTTGAACCCAAGAGGCAGAGATTGCAGTGAGCTGAGATAATGCCACTATAATCCAGCCTGGGTGACAGAGCAAGCTGCATCTCAAAAAAAAGATTTCACCAAATGGAAATAGAATTTTCTATATGGCCTATGAACCAACCAGGGGAACTAAGTCAGAGATATATATAGTTTATCCCAACCTATAGGAGCTGGTGGGTGAATTGAACACTTAACTCTAGGCTTGCTTCATGGTAAAGGGTCTGGGAAGAAAGCACACATTACTTATTCTCCCTTATTTCCTACTTCTAAGACTAAGCAAGGATATGCAGGTGGTACAATATTTCTACCTTGGGTTGAACCTAACTAGCAAAGGAAATGATATTAGCGGCCCTCTTAGAATAAGAGATGCTGACACCAGTTCTTTGTCCACACTCCCTTCTAGGGACCATGTAAAGGAGCCTCAGGGAGCTCCTCTGTCCAGGGCTCAGTCCTCATCATCATCCCAATCCCATTTCTACCTGTCCATTCTAATTTTTGCCCCTCAATGGTCCATGTTCCCAAAATTGTTATGTCAGAAGTGCGTTTGTCTTAATTTATTGGCTTAATTGATTGCCTGGGGAGAAAAAGTTTAGTAATACCAAATATGCATACCCTTTTACAGTGAGGTCACATTAATAGGTACAACTTGGCTGGGCACGGTGGCTCACACCTGTGATCCTAGCACTTTGGGAGGCTGAGGTGGACGGATCACGAAGTCAGGAGTTCGAGACCAGCCTGACTAACATGGTGAAACCCTGTCTCTACTAAAAATACTAAAAAGAAAAAAATTAGCTGTGCGTGGTGGTGCGCACCTGTAATCCCAGCTACTCAGGAGGCTGAGGCAGGAGAATCGCTTGAACCCGGGAGGCAGAAGTTGCAGTGAGCCGAGATCACACCACTGCACTGCAGCCTGGGCAACAGAGTGAGACTTTGTCTCAAAAAAAAAAAAAAAAGGTACGACTTTTTTTACAGCTGCTTTTTAAGGAGCAGCAAGCACAGTGATTCTAGTGCTTGCTCCTTAAAGCCAGATTTGATACTGCCTCATTTTTTCCAAGGCCTCGAGAGAAAGGAAACTGTCACAACAACGTTTTTGAGACATTTCCCATGTACATAGCTACTTTTTAAAAAAGCTTTGTGAATAGGTGGACACCCTCTATTTCCTATGTCTGTGTTCTGTTTCTTTTAGAGTCCAATCTTCTGTGCCTTTCAAGTGACCAGTAGCTAATAAGTAAATTTATTTGTGAAAATATGAGAGTCCTTTTCCCAGCATCCAAGCAGCTCTGCTAATTCAAGTCTCTCTCAGAAGGTAAAGCAAATACCCTTGTTGTCTAACCTGGAGCTATGGTGCAAACTGAGGATTCCAGATCAAGTCAGAAATGATGAGTCTGAATCATTGAGTCGTTTTTAAGTTGAGTATGTCTGTTAAGAACTGTGTACAGCTGCAGGTAACAGACACACAACCACAGTGGCTTAACCAAATAGGACTCTAGGTAGCAAGAAGCCTGAAGGCAGGCGGCTCAGGGCTCAGCGAATCATCCTGATTGCTTCTAGCTTTTTGCTCTGCCATCTTAGCAATGTGGCAGTATGACAAAAAGAGGGTACACAGGAGAGCAAAATGATGTTGAGTTTGTCCTCTTCTTATTAGGAAAATTACAGTTTTCCTTAAGGTCCTACCTAGTAGAGTCCCACTTACATCTCACTGGGCAGAACCAGGTCACATGTCACCCTTAGCTGGATGGGATTTTGGAGAGGTGAGATTTTTGTTTGTTTGTTTGTTTGAGATGGAGTTTCACTCTGTCACCCAGGCTGGAGTGCAGTGGCGCTATCTCTGCTCACTGCAACCTTCACCTCCTGGGTTCAAGCGATTCTCCTGCCTCAGCTTCCTGAGTAGCCGGGACTGCAGGTGAGTATCACCACGCCCAGCTAATTTTTTGTATTTTTAATAGAGACAGGATTTCACTGTTAGCCAGGATGGTCTCAGTCTCCTGACCTCGTGATTCGCCTGCCTCGGTCTCCCAAAGTGCTGGTATTACAGGCATGAGCCACTGCACCTGGCCTGAGAGGTGAGTATTTTTAATAGGGCACATTGTTGCCTTGAACAAAATTGAGGTTCAGTTGGCAAGGTAGAAGCTCAATGGTTATGCAGCAAGCAGGGTCTGCCCTGAGGAGCCATGTGATACCTTTCAAATCTAGTGATTTTTAAGCAATTGTCTGAGTACCATGTAAATATCAGCTTCTTAGTTATATTTCTGTGATGAAATAGAGTTGTTTGGTTGCATTGTTTGTCTAGGAGAGGATGTGGTACCATGAATGGGTTATGTCTTTCCATTCTTATAAAGAACAGTGGGTGCTTCTTGGCCTTTCACAATAAAGAGCCTTTGACTTATAATGTGCGTAATGAAAATGCATGAAAGGACCACCTCTACCAAAGTTCTCTGGCTTGTCAATATGATGAAACTAGTAGGGCAACCACAGAAAAGATAGAAATTCCTCAGACCCCTTGCTTTGACCCGTTTTCTGTTTTTCTCATGCTCAAAAGAAGAGAGGTTTTTCATCTCAGGGCTGTTTCTTTGGGCTTGGGACCTTTTCTCCATCTTTCCTTTTTTAGTGTAGCTCTTACTTCACCTGTCTGCTTTATTCCAACTCTCAGTTAAAGGGCAACCTTAATCCTTCCTTCTTGAAAAGGGACTTGGGGAAAAAAATGAGGTACATCTGACTTTAAGAGCCAGGATCACTACATACTTTTTAATGTGTCTATAAAACTCCGAATGGTCTCCTTTTCATGTTTTCTAGTTTCATTTCCTATTCTAGGCCACTAAGACAGAGCCTCGAACTATGTGTCATGTGAGCAAATTACAGAATATGAATCCCCAGTCTTCATGGTGCTGGGGTCAGAGCCTGAGGAAGCAGGAGCATCCCTGCCTGTCGTATTCAGTTGTAAGCATGGCTTCTGTTGAATCTAGTGTCCCAGACAAATATTACCATTTTCTTTGTGCCATGAAGTCAGAAATCACAGGAAATGCTGCTTTCAGGCCTGTTTAGGGGCTCACTGTTCTTTATATTCTTCTTCCACACTAAAGCCTGTAGAGACTCCTTTTTTTTTTCTTCTTATCTTGTCTCAAATCTACACCTTTGGTTTTTTGCAAAAGACTGTCCTGGCAGATGTGATAAACTTGGTTTGTGTTTCTTAAAAACTGTTCCGGGCAAAGCTGTGCTGTATCTTGACTCACTTGTGTAGCTTAATGTCCCTTTTGTTCATCCCATCTTGAGCCCTGTTATATTCTCCTGGTTTTGCTTTTCCTTTGCTTTTTATAAAGGGGTTTTACAAGTGGAAGCTCACCCCAACCACTTTGTGATAAATCAGCTCATTGCCAAAGTTGCGGCAGTTGTACCCTTTGTTCTTCGCAGTTTTGTCTTGCATCACTGACCACCTTGGCCAAGCCCAGAGATGCCACCTTCTTTCCACCAAGCCCCCTTTCTCCCACATAAATGCGATCGTAGAAACTTGAGTAATACTCTGCTAGGACGTAGTCATTAAGAATAATGTGCATTATATTTTCTCATTTATCTTCTTTCCATTTATTTTAGAGCTTATGTTAGTCTTCGTGCTAAGAAGAGATAGGTTATAATTAAGCTGAAAAGTGTTTCTTTGGTTTTTCCAGATGAGAATTCTCCAGCCAACTTCTGGGATTCTAAAAACAGGGGTGTGACTGGAACACAAAAAGGGCAAATTGTATGGAGAATTGAGCCTGGGCCCTATTTCATGGAACGTAAGTAATTGAGTGTGAAATATAAACTTATTATTGAACATTGCATAAGTATGCAGAAATATATGGAGTCTTTTTTAATGTTATTTTGAAATTCTTTGGTTTGGATTTCCACTGCCATGATGGAAAATATATTGTTTTAGAGAATGCTCAGTAAAGAATGTTCACATATTTTGAAAAAACTGTGTGTGTTTAAATATACAGTTAGCCATCCATATCTGTGGATTCCACATCTACAGATTAAACCAACTGTGGATCACGAAAAAAAAGATGTTATTGTATCTATACTGAACAAGTACAAATGTTTTTCTTATTGTTATTCCATAAACAACACAGTATAACAACTATTTGCATAACATTTATATTGTATTAGGTATTATAAATTATCTAGAGATAATTTAAAGTATATGAGACGATGTACACAGGTCATATCATGTACTCTGATACTTTACATAAGGAACTTGAGTATCTGTAGATTTTGGCATTCGAGGGGGTAATGGAACCAATTCCCCACGGATATCAAGGGACAGTTATGTAGGTACATGTGTGTATATATATACACACACACAAACATACACATTTACATATATATGCACATGAATATTACATGTACATACATATACATGTATATATACATAAATATATATAGTGCGTTTTATATTTTACATATACATTATGAATGTATGGTATGTAAATTATGCATGGCTACTTTAATACTTCACACATTTTATATACGCTTTATATCTGTAATTAATATTTATTCATATTAATTTCAGAAAGAATAATTCAAGATTTCAGTTAATTTAATAACATGACTTGCCTTTGAAATACCTCATTATAATTTTTGCCAGCAGCAGAATAACTTCGTGTTTGGACCCCAGTCTTTTCAAAGTGTTGATGAAATGGCCTGGGTCTCACTGCCATTGAGGTCAGCTCACTAGAAAATCAGACACTGGCTGCAAATAACTCAGCTGTTACCCAACGAATCCAGTGTTACAGTCATTTGTAAATTCAAATGCTTGTATATAGTACCTGGTTCACAAAAATAACTTGCCCCTTTTTAAGTTGTATGATGATGTTATTTATAGTTGCCACCAATACTATTGAAAAATAGTAAATACTCAATATATTTTTGTGAAATATATAGAAGAATGAAGGAATAAATGATTTAGTAGTTGGTCCAGGTTAACTTCTACATTTACAGAACTTATTTTTCTTTAATGAGCTCTTTAAACTTTTTCTGAGTTGTTGAGCTTCTGAGGGAGCCTTAAGACTAGTATATGCAAAAGATTTAATATAGAAGAGAGTGTGTGGGTACTAGTACTTAAAGATAGTACTTGGTAATGTGAACATTAAGATTTCATTAAATGGAAACCTGCCACAAGCATATTTTTGTTGAAGCATATAAAACTTTTCTAATACATGGTTGTCTTAAAAGATTAATGTCTATTACTTGAATTGCTATTAAAGGCATGAGATAATTTCTTCCACCATTCTTAGTAGTAAATCAACATTTTAGAACTTTCTCTAATCCTGCTTCTGCCCCATAAGGAATGTCTTCTTTTCATATTTCAATTTCTGACTGGATTATCTCTTTAATCCTTAAAAGAAATGTAGTTTTTTAGAGAAACTGCTCACAAAAAGCATAGAGAAAGGAAGGTCAGAAAAGGGAAGCAGATATATTCAGCAGAATCCTAGCTAGTAGCACAGCAAATAGGAAACAGTTTGGAAGAAAACTGGCCAACATGTGAATGAGGATGGTTTCTGGCAAGTGGAATTATGGATGATTTGTTTTTCTTACCTATGTCTACATTACTTTCCAACATTGTTCCAGCTGGTACGACTATCTAAGTAATGAGGAAATAAGCGATAAAAGAATGTGAGGAAAATGGAATGGGAAATAGCTGGTTTTACTTTCAATGTGATTCCTCTTTTGAAAGGATCCTGGTATTTAAAAGGCTGATCTAGCTGAGAAAAATTGCCAACTGAACTTCAGGGGAAAAGGTAAAATCACTTCCTTTGGAGTAAAATCACTCAAAAATGATGAAGGCTGCTGGTAATTATTGCCTGTTGGAGTGCGCAGATTGATATTACAAGCCTCACGTGAACCCCTGGGAAGAAGTCAGTACCACATGCTGCTATAATTTGGAATATTATGTGAGAAAAAGCCCATTTACAGAGTATCCCCTTTGCTGTGATTGATTTCTTTCGCCCTTCGAAAGTGTTAGAGATTCATAATGTCCTGACTGATAAGGCTATAGTTAAATAGCTCTGTCTTGACTGGTTTCTCTACATCTCCCCCTAGTATTTAATAGAAATGGGCTTCACATTGAAGCTAGGAGTTGGGAATGAAGAAAAGGGAAATTTTTTTTCTTTTTTTCTTTTTCTTTTCTCCGTATTTTAGCATTTCCGCCTTAATTCTTCTCACAAAATTGGGAGGATTGCATAATTGTAAAAGTTTGTTTTAGAATTCAGTGATGCATTTTTTTAAAGACTGATAAAATTAGTGTAAGTTAAAGTTAAATATTTCAGAAATATTCTCCTTTGAATAAGTCTTTCTTCATTAATTAGAATGAAGCACCAGCCCCCAAAACACCCATCCCTACCCTTGCAATATAAAAGAAGTTGTAATCATATTTATAGTGCCTAGAAATAAAGTCTGTGTCTTTGGATGTCATTTCATTCTTTTTGAGACAGAGTCTTGCTCTGCCTCCCAGGCTGGATTGCAGTGGTGTGATCTCAGCTCACTGCAACCTCCACCTCCTGGGTTCAAGTGGTTCTCCTGCCTCAGCCTCCCAACTAGCTGGGATTATAGGCATGCACCACCATGCCTGGCTAATTTTTGCATTTTTAGTATAGTTGGGGTTTCAGCAAGTTGGCCATGCTGGTCTCAAACTCCTGACCTCCAGTGATCCACCTGCCTTGGCCTCCCAAAGTGCTGGGATTACAGGCGTGAGCCACTGCACCCGGCTGGATGTCATTTTTAAAACCCATTGTCTAGCTACAGCATTCTTAAAGGAACTCACAATGGAATGTTGCTTGAATCTCTGGAGCTGATGGCATGGAACTTTTTAAAAAAATTGAGAAGAGTAAGACAGCTTCTAAAATATTTTCTACCTCCAATCTTGAAAACTTAAAGTATTTTAAAATGTTTGTTTTCATCTGCAGAAAGGAAATTTGTTTATCTTTAGCTCACCAGAAATCCAAACAAAACTTTAAAAACCTCTGATAATTGATCTATTAAAGTTTTAGGGAAAACCTGGATTTGAGCACTATGTGGGCTGTTTGTAAATTTAAGATGGCTTTAGTTTGTCTGGATAAATCCCCAGAGGAGGCAGTTAGTCCAAACTTATTTCAGTATAGGGCTTCCTGAATGGATTTGAAAGACAAATCTAAGTGTAAATGTGGGTAGATGATCCTCTGGGCATTCAAGAGGAGGGTCAACTTCATCTGCACCTGCTTGTCATAAGACAGATATTCCTCAAGAGAGCTCAGGCTCACAGACTCTGAATGGGTCATCTGTGCAGTATACATTCATGAGTTTTAAAATTTAAGAGGTTTCAAAAGTTGTCTTGGCATGCAAGAATGTATGTTTTATTCTATACAGTCTTTTATGGGTCATGGTCATTCATTTATTCATATTTGCTTTTTATTCTTCCTTCCTTCTATCCATCTGTCCATCTATCTCCCTATCTATCCTGAGATATTCATTGAGTGCTATTTTGTACTAGGTCTTATTCTAGGTACTCACTAAATCTTGTATTAGTGAGCGAGCTTAGAGGTACCAAACTTCATCCTGCATTGCTATGTACTGAATTGATAGGTGATCATTGAGGAATATGACAAAAACCTGATATTTGTATAAATTACATAGTGGTTTCACATACTTACCTATCCCAGCCCTGGGAAATGTATATAGGATTAGAAAAAAGTATGCAAGTGACAATTGTGAGTGAGAGTCTTCCCTCTGAGTGGCGCTCAGGTTGGTACAATTTCCAAAATAGGTGTGTTAAGGTGCCTTTTTATTTGATGAAGAGGGGGTGGCCCCAGTCTCTTATTTTTACTATCAGAGCTGTTTCTGTAACTTTCACCATTTCTAAGTCCCCTCCCACCAATATCAGAAAGGTCTTTTTGCCCCTTGGATGGAGATTTAATGCTTTTCATCCCCCATCCTCATACTTTATATTTTAGGTCCAGTTAGTTCTCTATTCCTATTAGGTTTCCACCATATCTGCATGGATATTGTCCCTTTTGTTTTTCTGAGTTTTAGCAGAGGAAAGCCTGGCCATTTCAGGCTCCACTGTTCCTTGTTAAAGAGAAGACAACTTGCAGTGACGTATAACTGACAAGTGAGCATGTCACTAGCATGTGGGCAAATTTCCTCAAAAGCATGAGGAGCAAAGCTGTGAATCAGAATTATAATATTAATAGCTTAATGAAAACACATAGGGCAACAGTTAAAGTCATGTTCTAGAATAAATTATAATTAGCTTGATTTTTTTAAGATTATTCTACCATTTAAGTAAAATAGAAATGATTAAAGAAAGAAGGATATTTATATTCCATCCATCTTTATGCTTCAAAATATTCAACTTCTAGAAACTTGGGGAACATCCAGACTCTCTAAATAGGAACAGGCTGTTAACTACTGCCTAAGTGAATCGTGTAGCTATTTAAGATGATGGATGAGATCCTAAGCTGAGGCAAAACCATTTCTTGCAGGGAGTGGCTTATAAAACCTTTTTTTTCAGAGAGGGCTTGAAATATAATCTTATATAAATGCCTAGGGTTAATACAGCTGAGCTGAGATTGCTTTTCTAAAAAATAATTTTGAATAGGTAATATACGAAAGAGTATAACTTTAAAAAGCATAAAAATTGAAAGTAAATGTTTCCCCAGCTTCATGTCCAGTTGCCAGTTTTTCCACCCTGAAGGCAACCACTACAACCAGTGTCAAGTTATCTATTTGGAAATACTTTATTTATATACAAACCTAGACATATATTCTTCTTTTAAACAGGTAGTAGAATAATTGCTTTAAAATGCAGTGTCAGAATCACACAGTTACAGAAATCCCGTTGCTTGAGAACAGGTTTAAATTCCTAAACACTGTTCAAAGCCTCTCTGCCTCCCCAACTTGCCCTTGAATATATCCCAAGTGATGTCTCACAAATGTTCACCCTCCGACGCATAGTAGAGGGGAGTGGGCATGCTGCTACCCTGAGGGACATCGTTATTTGTATTTATGAAAATTAGTCAGAAACTTGAAAATAAATGGGCTTTCCTGTTTTAAGAACATCCAAATACAGAGTATTAAATTTGTATTTTAGCAATACTATAAGTTAACGTACCCTGAAGATTATAGAAAGGGGCCCATATATTGCTATGATCTATGACCAGCTTCAGCTGTTCAGAAGGGACCTCGGAGAGGAGATGCCACTTGTGCTCTGCTCTCTTCCTCTTAAGGCTAGACCTGGCTCAGCCGACAGCAGGTCCTTACAGGTTAATACGGGATGCCTCTCCCTTTTCCTGGCTCGCTGCCCTCTGAGGTAACATGCTTTTGATACGCGGATTCAAAATACTCTTCTTTTTACAGCCCAAAGGAATGGAGACATATATATATATATATGGATATATTTAAATATATGCAAATATTAAAATATATTTCTATACAAATATGTATATATACAAATACATTATATATATATATATATTTCATAATTTGAGGCCAGCAGGGGGAGATATTGCCTGCCACATCAGGCTGTGAGGAAAGCATGTAGGATAGATGGACTCATTCATTGCTCTTTGGTCCATGTCCTCCATCTCCCCTTCTTATGAACAGGGCTGGGCTCTGTTGATCACTAGGCTCCTCCCTAACCGGATGCTCAGTCATCATGCCTGTGCTTACTTCCACCTGCCTTTGTATATATTTCTCAGAAATAGCATTTTTTTTTTGAAATGTTCATTTTGCAGTTAGAGGTTACACATTGTAGCTGGAACAGAAGCCCATGCCCCTGGGCACCAACTTCCCTTTTCCATCCTTCTGAGTATTCTTCTGTTATCTCTTCCAATAACCAAAATATTCAAATACATTAACCAAAATGATGCTCTCCTCTTTTGTCAGAGGGGATGTTGCTTAGTTACACCTTTTTTTAAAATCTTGTGTGACTTTCTAAAAAATAATACTTGAAGATGAAAACTTCCACTCAGAGCTGAACATTCTATTTTAAGGGGCAGCAATCTTCACTGATGTCCTGCTGAAGGATCCAGCTAGTTTCCATCCCTACCCAAACAACTCTTCATTCTGTCCAGGATTGTTTTCCTCTCTAGTGGCAAGCCTGCATGTGTGGTTTTATAATGGGTGATCTGTGAAAATTCCCTGAGCTTTTTGGTTCTGCAACACAGCTCAGTAGCATTTGAAGGGATTGGATCATGCCCACAAAATCTGTTTTTGTGCAATTCAGGATACATTGATCTTAGTTTCAGGGATTCTACTTTGTCATCTGGGTTGGAGAATTTTGTTATAGCAAGGAATAAAATATCACCAAAAATAGTTATTTTTTTGTGTGCTTTCAACTAGCAAAGTTGGCATGATTATCATCCTCCAAAAAAAAAAAAATAAGCAGTCACTTTTTTTTTTTTGGTCTCATTATCTGTTACCTAGTTGACTTAAAACCTTAGGAATGCAGATAGCATCCTGACTTGAGAGAGAGCTAGGAGAAGATGTCTTATAAAAATGCACTTCTCTCTTTGGAAAAAATGACCTGCTCACTCACTAACCATTGCTTTTATCTATGAGGTGCTGCTGCAGGCAGAACCATGAACGTTGCTTCCCCAGCATTAAAAGTGTGATACCAATGAGCTCATGTCCAAAGAATTCAACCCCCATGCATGTTACCACACTTCATTCTGCTTTGACAGTCCTCGTGCATGCAACTTAGGTTTGTTCTTGCATACTACATGCAATTGGTCTTGGAAAAAAGCAAGTGGGAGAGTAAAGTTTGCTCACATCTGTCCAGCTATTTCAAAAATAACCAAAAATCTGTGTTAGTGTTCAGGAAAGTCATTTGCAGAAGAGTTCTCAGGAAGACAAAGTGATAGTAAAGCTAGAATTCCTGCGTAGGTCATTTTGCTGTTCCCCAGACCCAGCATGCTTCATCTGTGCCTCCCTGCTTTTGCCACTCCTTACTCCTAACACTCTCTAGCCCCATTTTTCTCATCCATTAGACCTGTTTGTTCCATGACACCTTTCTGATTCCACCATATCCTCTCTTATCTTCTCCACGGTCTCCATGCTCTTCTACCTGGTCCTCTTCCTTTTCAGTGTGTGTCTTCTGTATTTTGCCGTGCCTGCAATTGGCATCTCAGCAGCTACACTACAGAGCACCCACTAGATCAGAAACCTTTCCTTGATTTCCTTGCATTGTCTGGCACAGTGCTGCCTGGCCATGTGCTGTGGCAGGTATGTAGTAAAAATCTTCTGGCTGATTATGCTTATTAAATTATGAATTATTGGATAGTGAGTAACATAAATAATAGACAGACTCAATATTTTTACCCCATAACAACTTTTTTTTGAGATTTAGTATTTGATCATTGGTAGGAATAGTGTAATGATATAAATTCCTGGAAAAGAATTTTTCTTCAGTTATTATCTCTTCCTCTTAAAGTAAGGAAACCAAAGACTGTAGGAGGCCATTTGGTGCAGTCAGGAAAGTCAGTGGAAGATGAACTTCCTTAGGGAGATACATTGAGCACCCCCACTTTAATAATCCTGGTGACTCCGTTGAGAGAGGAACTCCCTCCTGTAGCTTAGGATTCAGCCCTTCATCATCCTTGCATATTTAGAATGACATGTTGGGAAAAATGCAGCTCGCAGTGACACTTCAGTGACTCAGATGCTTTGTATACAGAGAAATTCCAGTGCCTATAGGTTTATCTTTAACACAGTTTGGTTTCATGCTCTTTGGAATTGTAGTTGCTTTCCGAAAACCATAATTGACATTTGTATTACTTTCTATCAAAATGGAATTATCAGAACAAAGTTTATGAAGTATGTGGATTCCACATGCTGTGAGATACAGACATCAGTTGTTTGTAGATTTGATCCTTGTCTACTAAGTGTATTTAAATGGCTTGGAAAATTAAAATAATACAAATTTCCAGACCCTGTCACTAGAGAATCTACTACAGTATACTTCCATGCTTTGTTAGACTGTTTTTCCTCTATTTCCATTGACAGCTACAGTCAATGTAGAGGTTATGAGTGAAGGCTTTGGAATCAGACAGCTTGGGTTTGAGTCCTGACTCTGTCATTTCTTACCCGTCTGGACTACAGCAAACCTCTATATCTTATCTGTAATATGGGGACAGGAATTTTCGCCTTCCAAGGTTAATGTGAGGGTTCAATAACAACATGCATGTGAGAGATAACACAGTGGCACATTGTGGAGCACCTCAGTAAATGCTAGCTAGTCCCATTCTTATCACTACACTATTTCTATTTTGGCATGTTGTTTTCATGCATCATTTTTCTGATATGTTCGAGAGGTTAGAAAGTTTCAGAGAAGCATATAAAATCAAACTGAAATTGATGTAATCTGTTGCCTCTGAGTGGAAGCAAACAGGTCATTCAGAGTCATGAGTAGGATTCCCTGAGAGGTGATATGTTGGATTTCCACACCTGATTCCTAAATGACTTGTTTCACTGTTTAAATTACCATTTTTCTCCAATTGCTTTGCAGCAGAGATAAAGATCTGTTTTAAATATTACCACGGCATTAGTGGGGCCCTGCGAGCCACAACCCCCTGCATCACCGTGAAGAACCCGGCTGTGATGGTGAGTGCCCCTTGCTGCCAGCTCCCTTTTGAGATCCATGCTGGGACTTGATTTCTGTTTTTGCCTCTGCAGCCCTGACAGGGTTATCAGGAACAATGAAAAAGGAAACACAACAGTGTGGGTACTGTTACAGGAAAGGAAATAGCTTACAAGGTTGGCATGCCTGAATCCCTTATTCAAATCAGTGGAAACATAGGATTTGATATGTAACAGCTGTTTGTAGAGTCCACTCTCCAAGGAGCCCATTCATGAAGCAAAGTAGCAAGTGCCCCATGGTGGAAGGTTTTAAACTTAGTCTGGGCGACCGGTTGGTAGGAAAGAGTGGCACTGGACCTTATGTGAATTTTAACCATTTAAATTGTGAGTGATTCTACCTGCCAGTAAACTCAGGGAGCTGTTGCCTGGAAGAGAATATAAGTTGGAAGTCACAAATGCGCTGTTTCCTTAAGGTCTTAGTGCTGGTTCCTTCTCAATGCCGAGTTCGGGTCTAGTACCTAGAGATCTGTTCATATTTTGGAACTCAATGGAAGTCAATTTCTTTAACTTCAGAAGATGACTTCAGAAGTCAGGCCCTCGGTTGAAGAAATGGATATCTAATTTATTTTTGTAGGAAACTTGTTGTGTTGGACTTTTGAAAGAAAACCTGCCCATTTCCAACATGGCAATTTTGTGCTTTTATTAAATTTTATTTTAGAATCTAATAGTCTCACAATACCCAGCTCCACTGTATATGGGTGGTTGGACTCACGTGGTTTGGGGAGATTCTTAGAGTCCAAGATATGTAAATTACTTAGTTTTAATTAGTTATTAATAAAAACGAGCTCTTGAAAGTATACAAAAAATACTGACTCCATGACACAGAATCTTTACAACATTCTATGTGTGGGTATGTGTGTATACCCATATTTATAGATGCTTGCATTTTTGAAAACAGGCAAGTAGTCAGGTTGAAATTCAAAAAGCAGTCTTTGTGAATGGCTCTTTGAAATTGTTCACACTCACCCTATGTTGTCTCTGATAGTGCTTGTACCTCTGTATCAAGCAGTCTTTCCCTTTTATCTATTCATTTAGACAAATATTCATTAGATGTCTGCTAAGTACTAAGCATTGTGCCACCACTACAGATGAAATGATGAGAAAAACGCCATCATTGATTTCATAGGTCTGGTGTAGGACAGAGACATCAATCAAATATTATATTTATTTGAGTGAAAATTGTAAGAGGGAGAGCAAAAACAGGGGTAGGAGAACATGTTCTATGTAGTAGGATTTGTCCTGATCAGAAAATTCCTGGAAGGCTTACCTGAAGAACGTGTGTCTGAGGGACAATCTGAAGGAAGAAGAGGTGAAGGGGTTTTATAGATGAAGAGGGAGGGAAGAGCATTTCAGGCAGAGGGAATAGTGTGTGCAAAATCCTCAACATCTAAGTACGCTGCTCACATTAGAAATATATGTGAGTTTCCATTGTAGTAAACATAGTATAGGACATAAAAGAAAAGCTTACATTTACTATGTGAGACTTTGAAGGTCGCAAAGTGAATAGCAATTGTTGATTGCAGAGTCTTCCATGTCACATAGTAAGCACTGAAACAGACTTTAGTTAATTTTCTAAAAAGAAAATTTATAAAACTAGAAGAGTTGGGACTGTTTAAAATCTTCAAAAAATTCATTGTGTCTGAAATTAGACAATAACTTTCAAACACGATTAAGCATTTTCTGAATTTAGATTTTTTTAGACTTGAGCAATTTCAATATTCAGATATCATTAAAGGCAGTGGAATTTATGGTTTGTTGAACACTGATCTTATTCCATTGATTTTTGCATTGATATTGCTCTGTCAAAGCCTGTGGATAGTTTGGAGATAATTAATTTGCTTCAAACAGGCTTCACAAGATCTTAAAAGCTTCACAGATACAGCACTGGCAATCAGAATAGTGTATTTTGGTTCAAAGACTGACGAATGCAATGGGTGGTTAATCAATTTCTGACCAAGCTTGAGACAGTTTGATTTATGTCCAACATTGAAAGGCTGTGCCTCACGGAACGTCTTTTTGAGGGTCAGGACTATGTTTCTCTAATAGTATGATGGTCACTTAGGTATATGACATATGTTTAGTCATTGTGACCGATTGACATCCTTGATACTTACAAATCTCACTTAGTACAATTATACCATGGCCAGATAACAAAGAATAGACCTGGAATAAGTAATTGGGAAACTCCACATGGAAGAAAATGAGCTGTCATCCTAATCATATGATCTCTTTTCTCACATATCCTTTTGCAGTGCATCAAAGATAAAAAAAAATTGTGACTTCTCTGTCATTAGTATTTTGATATCATTGTCATTCATCAGCGTACACAGTGATATGTGTCTCAGATACTTGGAACAGGAAATCCTTCGGCTTCAGGGACAAATTAAGGCTGCTGTTACTCACTGCCATGTATTGTTTCAACACTTGGTTGACAATGTTGTTTCTGGGTTTTCCTGGAATGAATCTATGGAGTGAGTTTATTTTAAAGCCAGTCTCTAAACATTGAGCGCAGATGTGTTTATTATCCTGAATGTCCCTGTATCCAGTGGTACAGGGACTGTACCTGGTCTTTCCTGGCTTTTTTGTAATGAATGACAAAATTGAATTATTTGGATATTATTTCAGATGAGCATTTTGCCAGAGTTGTGCAGGACATTGTTTTTCTGTGAATTCTTTGAGAATTGTTTCAGAGAAGCCTTTTGCTAGAGGGTGAATTACTTTTGAAAAATGAGAATTTCTCATGATTTCTTATAATTTTTTAAATAGGTTTTAAATGAAGACAGGTTATGAATTGTTTCAGCCTCATTTAACTCAGCACAAGTATCCATAGCTGACCGAGATGTTGTGTTTTAAGGGGTGGCACATTTTACTGGGCTGTGGAGCCCATTTGTGAAGAGGCTGCAGTTTCTGGGATGTCTTCCTGTGCCCAGGCACAGAAGGAGTGGCAGGTTGCCAAGGGTGCGTCTCAGTCGTAGTCCAGGGTAGTGTGTGGTGAAAGCAGGATGAGATGACCACAGCAGTTAGTTGTCTGGCCAGTGTACTGCTGCCTCTGCCCTATAGTTAATCTGGGAATGCTGAGTCAGAGGAGTACAATACAATATAATAAACCACACGTGTCTATTGAGAGCCAACTGTATGATCAAGGAGTTGGATCTATAGATGGAAGGAAATACAGATACCTGGATGGACCCTAGTGTGTTGTAGAGCACATGTGAAGCAGTCAGGATGCAGTTAAGTGGCATGCAAAATAGTTTGATTAAGGTACAGGAGTTACAGTGGAGGCAGTAGAAATTTACATTTCAAAATTTGAATGGAATTTCTCAATTTTGCTTGGATTAGTGATGGCTTTTATCTCTTTGTAGTGTGTGATTTTTATAGAAGTGTGGGGAGTGTAGCAAATATAAAATGGAGAAAGAGTTAAAACAAAACCAAAAACAGACCTGGACAGTGGTTAAGTAGTAAAAGCAGATTCAAATCAGGAACTATTGCAATAGGGGGAAGATAACTCCATATAGAATTGACTCAGTTTGGCCAGGCACAGAGGCTCACACCTGTAATCCCAGGAGAGGATCACGAGGTCAGGAGTTCGAGGCCAATATGGTGAAACCCTGTCTCTACTAAAAATACAAAAATCAGCCAAGTGCGGTGGCACATGCCTGTAATCCCAGCTTCTCGGGAGGCTGAGTCAGGAGAATTGCTTGAACTTGAGAGGCGGAGGTTGCAGTGAGCCGAGGTTGTGCCACGGCACTCCAGCCTGGGTGACAAAGCAAGACTCCATCTTAAAAAATAATAATAATAATTGGCTCAATTCCAAATCTAACAAGAGAAACTAGGGGTTAATAGTCAAGGAGCAGGGTTAGAGTGGAGGGATTGGTGAATGGAAAATTACTAAGTGCTTAAGGGATTCTTGTTAAACAGACCTAATGAAATTCTTGCTGAAGGCAGGCCAGAACGATCAGATATCACATGGAGGATGGTGGGAGATGAGGAATTTGATCTGATATCAAGGGTGATCATATACTGAGGGTGGGGATTCTCCAAAGTGTCATAGCAGGATTTTTGCTAAAATTGGACTCTATAAGGATGGAGATAGAAGCCCAAGGCCTGACCAGTTGAGCAGAGGGCTCAAAAGAGCCTGACTGAAGTGTGCTCAAGGAAAGAATCTTTGTCAGAAGAATTTAATCTAAACTTTAGAATTAAAACCTGGTTCTCTTTCCCACATTTGGGTATATTCTGCCTTCAGTTCTGTCTCTTACAGTATTGTGGACTTCTTTTGCAGAATATTATGAAGGTTTTTCTTCCTGATGTACCACAAATTGTGCACTAATTGTACATAAATTGAGAGAATGGTCTAAATTTGCTAGGTGGTTTATAAATTACGGGCTTCTTGTGAGGTATAATTTACTCAAAAGCTTTTAGGAAAAGGTTATCAGCATAATAGCACTGCAAATTCTTATTATTGCTAATTATAATAGCATGTGCCATGTACCTGCTGCACAATAGAACACAAGCTTACAAGGGAGGTAGGACTCCATGTGGATTTTCAGAAATACCTGACAAGAGAGAATTCTATACCTATGGATAAGTCTGATATAAATCAACTGTTTCATTTATTCTAGGTTTCCCTAACAAATCTGGAGGAATTTGATATTTAACTAAAAGGAACATTTAGTATAGTAATAATAATATATTTACTACAAATCAACTATGTTCTTATCAAAGGGCAAAAAGGACTGTATTCTTATCAAAGGGCAAAAAGTTTGATTCATAGTTATTGGGAATTTTGAAGCTTACATATTTTTTATTTGGGGTTAAGATTACATTTCAATCTTTCCTCCAAGAATCATCATTTGTGTCTCTGTTCCAAGATTGGGAAATGAAAGGACACATGATACAGTACATACTTGATGCGAAAACCATTACATTTATGAACATACATGGTTTCCTAGATAGATCCAGTGGCATCATACTCCTCTGAAACTTCAGATGCGTGTTTTTTCTCTTCAGATGGGGGCAGAAGGCATGGAGGGAGGTGCTTCAGGAAACCTGCATTCTCGGAAACTTGTTAGCTTTACACTGTCAGGTAAGAATGTCTTTAAATGTGACATCCAGTTTGGAAGTGTACGGTTTCAAAAGTATGAGTACTTACTTTTTCTACAGACTTTTATATAGGATATGGTGATATGTGAACTAGTTTTTTGGGGGTCATACTTCTGAAAATTCAGGTATATCTCTTATGATGATATAATTAATTATTAATATAAATTCAGAAATTATTTATTCTACCAAGTTTTCTGGTGATAGACAGTGTATTTAAATACGTATGGTTACTTTTTAAAAAACTGTAATGTAACATGTGCTAACTCCACTGAGGAGCTTTGATTATTGAAAACAATTTATTCTTACTTCAGCTATAGAAAGGAAAAATTTGAAGACTGGGGGGAAAAAGCCAATATACTTCTTTATCTGTGGAGGAATACAAATAAAAATTGAAAAGTGGATAAGCCAATTATTTTTGGGTTGTCTTCTGACTAGCAAACTGTTCAAATTGCTTGTATGTTTACCATTCAAGTAAAATGCTGTTTTTCAAGGTATAAGACAGGACTCATTTGCAGTTTGTAAGTTTGATTTAGTTAAATCAGTAATTAAAAAAAAATAATGTCAGAGTTTACCACTAAAAGAAATTTTTTTGGATAAAGTATCAATTTATACAAACTGAAAATCTTTATATACAATAATATATGTGCTTATATTTGTGTATACTAGATTGCAATGTAAAATGTATTTCATACATAGGACACGGTAAAAAAAGTTTGAAAATGAATTGATAGTCATAAAGTCAAGACTACTCTGAGAAAATCCATACTTGAAATAGACTTTTAAAAGAGAAATGGTTTTAGAAAATGAATTGGTAGTCATAAAGTCAAGAATACTCTGAGAAAATCCATATTTGAAATAGACTTTTAAAAGAGAAAACTGTGCTGTAATACATAGAAAATAAAGTCTAATGGATCTCCATCACTGGAATATGTTTTGTTTTCATTTTTCTGCGGTTGTAGTACTTCCAAAATTTAAATTAGATCCACTTTTCTTGACTGAAAAAGAAAGACATTTTAAATGAAAATAGACGTTCTCAAGAGTGAGAGTTAGAAGACCTGATTCTGAAACAGACGCTTCCACAATGCATAATTACCACATATGACTAAAACGTACACATCAGTTTGTTGCTGGCCCATGGCCTTCTGAGTATCTATGTTTGGTTTTGCAAGTTTCTCCTTTCCCCTGCTTTTTTACTTTGCTTCTCTGGTGAATCTCAGCAGTTGTAAACCAATGACTTATGGATCAAATTTGGCCAATAAATATGTTTTGTTAGAAACCTTCAGGGTTTAAAAAGTATCTAGGTTTTTAGAAGGGCACTAAAAATAACCACTGCCTGTGGTACTATGTCCCTACCCCCCTCATCTGCCTGTTTCCTAAAAACATTTTGGCTGGACACCTGTGCTTTAAACCTTCACAGTACTGAGGGTCTGAAGCTACTGAAATACCTGGTGACAGGCAGGAAACAATTTGTCAACCCCGATAGGTAAGAAAATTTAGAGTATGACCATACCACAGGTTTCTTGGTTTTGTTTTTTTAATTGAGAGGTAAAAATTGTTTATTTTTATGGTGTACAGCATGATGTTGTAATATAAACCATTGGTTTCTTAGATTAAAATTATTACCCTATGCTTTTAGGTGATTCGTATCATTCTAAGCATGACACAGACATACTGATTTTGACTCCAAAATCAGTATGGGATGTTATTAACTGGATATGTGAGAATGACCATCTGTAAGTTAAAATTCCTAGGCCATTTTCCTAAAAAGTAGGAAATAAGCTTTGAGGCACAGCCAAATGCTTCTTCCTTACACATCTCTTCCAACATCGCACCTCTGTTCACTTGGAGGCTAGCTACCTGACATCTGTTTTATTTCTTACCATATAGCCTGACATTTGCAGACAGTGTACAGAAATGACTAGGAACTGAAACCAGTTCTATAATGTTAATTCTAAAAAATTAACTGTTGTAGCATACTAACAGGGAATGATAATATTTATCTGAGAGCATTTAAGCACTGTAGAATGACTGCCTACAAATGTTCCATTCCTGATTATTTTGAATAAGTCAGGGCACAAATAATTGAATTTTACAGCTAAAATTAAAAATATATTTTGATTAATATTTTAAACATACTCCAAATAAGGCTTTACTTAGGATGTCTAACACATCATACCTTTGTGACTTTGAGTCCTTCTTTGGCCTATTACATGGTGTGGATATTTGTGAGAAATAGGATATGTAAAAGACAAAAAAGAAAAGATCAGAAATGAGATGGTTAAAGGGAACCGAATAATCAGATTATAAATAATTGGTAGTTTATTGTATTTATTAAGGAAGATTTATTTATACAGTGTCCCATTGTGGAAAGTTTAGTATCGGGCTTATCTAACAGTAATATTGTTTACCACAGTGACTTAATCTTCTGGTGGAATGCTTTTTGTTCAAAGGAATTTTTTTTTGTGAGTGATTTAGCTCTGTCAGACTTTGTGGCATTCATTTCTGTCTATGTTACTCTTCATTTGCTACAGAGAAATCCCTTTTTGGGGCATATATTTAATATATAAAGAATATCATTCTTCCGAGTTCAAGGGGAACATAATCAAGAAAGGCAAGAAAATAAATGTGGCAATTGCATTTTCTTTTCAAAGCTGCTCCCTGCTGAAGAAAATCAAGTGAAAATATGTAGCATCATTAAATTGACAGGAAGATGCAAATTCTGCATTTAATAATGACTACGTACTTTATGAAGTGTCAGGAATGGTGACTACAAGGCTAATGAGATAACGGCAGCTTCTCTGAAGTGCCTATCTAGTTATTTACCTGTTTTTTCCTTCTCCCACCGGTTTTCAGATCTAAGATCTTGCTATATATTCCATGCAGTGTTCTCAATGTGTGGCAGCTCACGCCTGTAATCCCAGCACTTTGGGAGGCTGAGTCAGGCAGATCACGAGGTCAGGAAATCGAGATCATTCTAACCAACATGGTGAAACCCCATCTCTACTAAAAATATAAAAATTAGCTGGGTGTGGTGGTGCATGCTTGTAATCCCAGCTACTCAGGAAGCTGAAGCAAAGAATCTCTCGAACCCAGGAGGCGAAAGTTGCAGTGAACCAAGATCGTGCCACTGCTCTTCAGCCTGGCAACAGATCGAGACTCGGTCTCAAAACAAACAAAAACACGCTCTTGGTTGAATTTTTAAATATTTGCAGATATATCAAACTTCCCGCCTTTACTGCCAGGTATGTGTCATCAGACATTTCTGGAGTGTTTTCAGCACATGTACCTGGGCCATGAGTTCTTGTGGGCCACTGGTGAGCCACCTCCTGGGAGCACTCCTTCAAGAATATGGCTCTATGGGCAACTTCAGGCCAATTCTATTTTTCTAAGAAAGACCTTACGTTTCAGGAATAGGCTTATATGGGAGGACCCTGGTGACCTCCTGTAATTTAGGGTCACTATCCAGGGTCTGTTTGCCAGCTGATCTGGGTAATCCAAAGGTCTTTGGAGGTTCAGGGACTGTATGCAGAATTGCTCTCTGAACCATAGTGTTTAGAACATCCCTAGATTGATCTTCCAGCATTTTCAAAGACGACTTAGCTGTCAGACCTATCTTATTCAAGCTGATATTCTCAGAAAATGTTGAAAACTCAGTGGAGCCAGCTTTATTTCCTGACATGTTTGTGTCTCTTAGCCTGACCATGGAAAAACATATCAATCTTCTCATTAAAATGGACTTTGGCTAGGACTTTTAGCAGCTCATAGAGTATGAAACAGCAATTTGTGAATCTAAGGTGAGTTATAGGACATTAATCAAATATTTAAATTACTTTACTGGCTATTTAAAATAGCAGGTAGCACTCACATTTCAGAAAACATTTTCCATAACATTCATCACATTTATGGAATGTATATGACATTTAAATGTAGTACAAATGAATATATGCACTGACATTTCATCTCCAATTAAACTTGGTTCTATGTATATGTAGAAGATTCATTTTTCTCTCATGAAGGAACATGTTTTTCAGTGAGCTGCTTACTAAGTATTTCTCTCAAGATGTTGTCTGAAATTCTGGTTGCCGAATTACATTGCCTTAGGATAAAGGTGGTGAAGTTGCACATGTTGGAATCCAAGGAATTCCCGGGAAAAGTCAGTTTAGAGAATGTGAGGTGGTGCTAAAGATTTGGCTACACTTTTGTTGACTGTTAGGAGACCCCTCTGCTGGAATTAGTGCCATAAGCCATTTGTCTTCACTTACCTAAGCAACCATAGTGTGAATAACTGCTATTGTGTTACCGAGTCTTTTCTGTTTAGAGCTTCCTGTGTGTTTATTTAAGAAGAAATTGTCTTTGAGTTGCTTGTTCTAATCAGGATATATGGATCCTTCCTTCTTCTGTCCCTTTTTCTCTTCCTTCCTCCTTCCTTTCCTCCCTCCCTCATGCTCTCTCTTCGTTCCTCCTTCCTTTTCCCTCTTTCTTTAAAGATCTTAGGGCAGTTGGGCTAAAGAAAGGGATGTTCTTCAATCCTGACCCCTATCTTAAGATGTCAATTCAGCCAGGGAAGAAGAGCAGTTTCCCCACCTGTGCCCACCACGGGCAGGAGAGACGGTCTACTATCATCAGTAACACCACTAATCCAATTTGGCACCGAGAGGTAAGATGATCCTCAGGGGTCTCCTACTTGACAATGAGGAAGTCAGCCCAATCTCTCTTCTTGGGACTCTTGTATCCTCAGGTTGTTTATGAAGTGTCTAGGGGTTCTCTTGGGAAAGGGGTACAATGTGAATGAGCTATTCCCGTCTCTCCAGAGCCAGGTCTAGAGTAAGACAAATGAAGCTGTCACTTCAGGGGAACAATTTAAGGAGCCCCCCAAAAAACTCAGTTGTTAAATATCTTAATGCAGTTTTTTTAAAACTCTTAATGCGAAAAATTCATGATGAATAAAATGTGAAAATTTTAAATAAGGACAGGATCAATAACATTGCCTTGTAGAGTCATAGTGGGGTGTGAGGCAAGAGGAATCAGCAATACTGATCTTGTTTTGATTTAAAATTTTGATATTTTGTTGTAGCATACATTTAGTACAAATTAAAGGAATTTCTCTCTTTACAGGCTTTGGCAAATGTTTTATGAATTTCTAGATTTTTGTTAATTAGATGAGCCATTCAAGGAGTCATCATCCTCAGTAAAGCCAGATTGTGTTGATGGCATTTTAGACTTCCACACAGCTACAGTATGCTACCAGTCATCCCAGCGAACCATATCAGTAAAATCAAGCAAAGGGTTTTCTCATTTGAACTATGGAAAGTCGAAGAATGAACAGACACTTCTTACCTAATTAGCAAAGCTTGAGCTCTCCCTCCATTTCTCAGAGATCTGAGTTATGTTTTACATAACTAATGTGAGAATGTTTCTGGGCTGGCATAGGAGTTACACAGTTAATTAGATCATGCCCTAAATATTTAACGACAACAATATGTTCTAACAATGTTGTAGAAATATTTAATTGGAGAGAGGTATTTCAGGGGATCTAAAACCAATTAGAGAAAAACGGTTATTTGAGACTTGCCAACCCTGCAAGGCATTTCTCCTGGGTGGTTCCTGTGGTTTTGGAGATGGACGAACGAATGGTGCTCGTATTCTTATACTCTAATGATCTCATCATGGGAAAAAAAAAAAGAAAAAAACCTCTTAAGGGTGTGCCACTTAGTCTAACACATTTCAAAGCCTAGAAGACATAAAAATATATCTCAATATGATTCTAGAAGGTGCATGATAGATATGATAATGAAACAGGCAGTAACTATTTTCCTGACATTTTTAATTTGCAAAGTTTTTGACCATGTCACCAGTGTGAACCTGAAAGGGAGGCACAGAGGATGAGATTATCATATCTTCATTTTGGTGTTTAAGAAATTGAAGCGTCAAGTGTTTATGGGACTAACTATTCAGAGAGAGAAGTGGGGCTTCAACTCTGCTTTTCTATTCTAAGCAAGTACCTTTTTCCATCAAGCAGACTGCCAAATTGTAAGGCCCTTTGGAAAACCTTAGTTGTTATGATTAGATAAACCTGAAGGCATCCAAGTGAAAAGTTGGCCGACACTATTCACATCGTTATAGTTGCATGGATACTGTCAGGGAAGCAGTGAAGTGATTTAGGTTAGATTCCTGGCTCCATCATTTGCTTATCCTGAGATTCTCATCCTTAAACAGAAAATTATATTGTTCTAAAGATAAAGTGAAGATTTATATATGTAAAAGTCTCTGTGAGTAAAACTCTTATTTATTTTATATCCTTATTAATGTCCAATCAAAATTTCTCCAGTGGCATTCTTAAAATGAAAACCACAAAACCTATCTTAACCTCATACTTTTATTTTTCTGTCCCAGAAGAAATGACCCTGCATGCCTTATAAACTTAAGTAAAAATTCCATTTAAACATTGTTTTAATATTTATCAGGGAAACCACAGTATTCTGCAGATGTTCCTATTTTAACCACTAAGTGGAGGAGTATTTTCAACCATGTTTTGCAACTTCAGAATTTCATGAGATTAGGGTTTCAAATTGTCAATCAAATATACTAGTTAATTCTAAACCATTCTATAACAAGATATTAAATATCAAAGAATTGAGATACAATACATGTAGGGAGTACTAAAATTGCATTGTGCATAACTTAATATTTGATTAACATCTCCTAAAACTGTTAAACTAGGAAAGGCGGCATGATTGACTGATAGGGCTTCTTTTGTCGTACAGATCCTTGACTGATGCTTTTTAATCGTGGTGAATGCTAATGATTCTGAATGAATAAAGGATTGACAATAGCTGCAGCTGTTTCTAGCTTTGTGGAACTCTATGTTGTTAGAATTTAAGAGATATCATTTCCTATACAAATAAAATGATATAGTATCATATTTGTCTTTCTTTTGAACCAGGATGTTATCTCTTTGTGTTTTCAGAAATATTCCTTTTTTGCACTTCTTACTGATGTCTTAGAAATTGAAATTAAAGACAAATTTGCCAAGAGCCGTCCCATCATCAAGCGTTTTCTGGGGAAACTAACCATTCCAGTCCAGAGGCTGCTGGAGCGACAAGCCATTGGGTAATCAGCCTTTACCTTTGGGGATATTGTTGAGATTAGTTCATAGAGGAAAAAGTGAAGTGAAACTTGGTAGTCCTAGGACTTTTCATACTGATTAGAAGTAGTAACACAATTCTTTTTAAAATTAAAACATCATTACACTTAAAAATATATACTTGACAAAAAGTAGTTCGTTTAAATTATATATATTTTTTGCATCTTTATCTTTTCCAAGTGGGTAAACGTTAATAGTGGGTACTTTTCCAATAGTACCCACTATTAACATTTCAGTGTAAAATCTCATGGTGTTTGATTGTTTCTCAGGATATTGAAGTTTTTTGTTTTTTTTTTTTTTTTAATAAAATCTTCTCCCTAGAGCAGAATTCTGGGGTCAGGTTGATGCTTACTTTATCCTAATTAATTCTATCCAGAGAACTTTTATTCTTGAAAAACAGAAACAATCTGGTTTTGGAGCCATAAAATACAAGAACTAGACTTGAGGAAGTGTTATTATAAAGCTCCTAGATATATACATTCATTCAAGCAACTAAAATTTATTCATTGACATACTCAAAATTTAATGAGTAATGTCTCTTTTTTGTGATCTTTTTGTAAGTTGTGAGTACAGTAGTAAGAAGTCAGAGGAGACAGAGAAGAACAAAGACAAGTTATGCAAATTAATAATGCATAGCTGACTAGAGGCTCTAAACTGTACAGTGGAGCACACAGTAGATAGAAACATTGTGTCTTCCTTCTGAAATAGCCATTAGAGGGCAGTGTGAGAGCAGAGGTGGAGTGATTTGGCACTATCCTTTTGATGATTTCCTTTAATTAAGAATAAGTTGGCCAGGCGCAGGGACTCAGGCCCGTAACCCCAACACTTTAGAAGGCTGAGGCGGCGGATCACCTGAGGTCAGGAGTTTGAGACCAGCCTGGCCAACATGGCAAAACCCCGTCTCTACTAAAAATACAAAAAGTTAGCTGGGCATGGTGGTGGGCGCCTGTAATCCCAGCTACTTAGGAGGCTTAGGCAGAATTGCTTGAACCTGGGAGGCAAGGTTGCAGTGAGCCGAGATCACGCCATTGCACTCTGGCCTGGGCAGCAGAGGGAGACTCTGTCTCAAGAAAAAAAAAAAAAGAATAAGTCATTTAATTCAGAATAACATTGTTGCTGTGTGCAATAAAATGAAATGATTGCATTTGACTTTGATACAAAACTTGAAACAGATGGACAACTCCATCCTTGAGGAGGCAGGCAGACTGAGCCTGCTTCCAGATCTGGGACATGACCCCACCACAGTGGCACATCTGGCTTTGCCAACCATCCCATAAGCACTGCTCACTAGGCACCCTGAGAATCAGTGAAAGGCCAGGCTCCCCAGCAGGAAGAGCCAGCAGCTCCAGTCTCCTTACTTTACAGGTGAGGAAGCAGAGCTTAGCGGCCCCCTCCCCATCACACAGCCAGGGCTGCTGTCTTGGGTATGAAGGTCCCTTTCATTCTTGTGTTCTTGTGCTTCTCTCTCCTAACTCCTAGCTCCTGTTCTTCAGGATGTTGCACAGCGCCCTGTGTGCTGTGTTGGGTGATAATCCTTAGCTGTGAGTGTCCTTTTAGAACCAGCTTCCTATTGTGCTAAATGCTGAGGAACCAGGCCCTCTCCCCTTTGGCACCCAAGTCAAAAAACTTCTAAAACTTGAGGCCTTTCACAGCTCCTTTATGACTTTCAAAATCTCCTTTTTCTAGTCTCCCTTTGCCGTAAGAGAGTGAATCAGTGTCCTTAAAAATATCACACAGCGTATGATATCTCGTGCTCCTAATAATAATTTTTCTTGCAGCAATATTTCCTTTTATCTCTGGGTTTATAAACATTCCATTTGTGTGAATGAATAATATTACATTGGACTATAATGTGCCTTGAGCCTCTAATGTTCTTGTGAGTCTGAAAGTTTTAAGAGAGATATGAGGGATTTGGGGGGTGGCCTGTGGAAAGAAAGCGAAGGCTGACTCCAGTGTAGTCAGGATGAAAGAAGCATTTCTCTTCTTGCAGTGATCAAATGCTCAGCTACAACCTTGGCAGAAGGCTCCCAGCTGACCACGTGAGTGGGTACCTCCAATTTAAGGTGGAGGTTACATCTTCTGTTCATGAAGGTGAGATATAAATATATCTGCATGAATACATTGCTATAGGAAAAACTCGTTAGACCTGACTCAATTGTCAGTTTGCTTCTGAACAGAATTGAATTAGTGTCCTGTTCTGAAAGTAAATCAGCTGTCAAATAGTTACCTGCTGAAAATTTCTAAGCAAGTAGGAAAGCCTATTTTGCCCAAAAATGTCTCTTAGATTGATGCCTGCATTTTGAAACTGGGGTGTCGAATTTCGAGCCGTATTAACATATATAGCTCCTGTGCCAAACTGACTAGCAGTCTCCTTGTTTAGTAGTGAGTGGTGAATCTTAGCAAGCCAATAAAGAGCCCTCAGTGGAATGACTGAATTATTTGAACTTACTGGTGGCAAAGCAAATAGGTCATAAAACGTTCATTTGTTATTTCTAGTTCATTTTTAGAAATGCTGTTTTCTCATTCAGATGCCTCTCCAGAAGCTGTTGGCACAATACTTGGAGTCAATTCTGTGAATGGAGACTTAGGTAGCCCTTCTGATGATGAGGACATGCCAGGGAGCCATCATGACAGCCAGGTGTGCACTAATGGGCCAGTTTCTGAGGACAGCGTTGCCGATGGGACCCCCAAGCATTCATTCAGGACTAGCTCCACTCTGGAAATAGACACAGAGGAATTAACCTCTACTTCTTCAAGGACCTCACCTCCCAGAGGACGTCAGGATTCACTCAATGATTACTTAGATGCTGTCGAACACAATGGCCACTCCAGGCCAGGGACAGCCACCTGCTCTGAGAGGTCCATGGGTGCCTCTCCGAAACTGAGGAGTAGTTTCCCCACCGACACAAGACTCAATGCCATGCTTCATATTGACTCAGATGAAGAAGATCATGAGTTCCAGCAAGACCTGGGTTACCCGTCTTCCCTGGAGGAGGAGGGAGGCCTGATCATGTTTAGCAGGGCATCCAGAGCTGATGATGGAAGCCTGACATCTCAGACAAAGCCAGAGGACAACCCCATTGAGAATGAGGAAGGCTCCTCACACGAAGCCACTTCCTTTGAGGATAAGCCAGAAAATCTTCCAGAGCTTGCAGAGAGCTCCTTACCTGCAGGCCCAGTCCCAGAGGAAGGTGAAGGCGGCCCAGAGTCTCAACCCAGTGCTGACCAGGGCAGTGCTGAATTGTGTGGCTCTCAAGAGGCAGATCAGCCCACAAGTGGGGCAGACACGGGGACTTCTGATGCATCGGGAGGAAGCCGAAGAGCTGTCAGTGAGACCGAGTCTCTCGATCAGGGCTCTGAGCCTTCCCAGGTGTCCTCTGAAACAGAACCCAGTGATCCTGCCAGGACAGAGAGTGTGAGCGAAGCCAGCACCAGGCCCGAGGGAGAGAGTGACCTGGAATGTGCTGACAGCTCCTGCAATGAGAGTGTGACCACGCAGCTGTCCTCTGTGGAGACGCGGTGCTCCTCTCTTGAGAGCGCAAGGTTTCCTGAAACCCCAGCCTTTTCTTCTCAGGAGGAGGAAGATGGAGCCTGTGTGGCAGAGCCCACCAGCAGCGGCCCTGCTGAAGGGTCGCAGGATTCTGTGTGCACTCCTGGTTCTTTACCTGTGGTACAGGTGCCCAGTGGGGAGGAGGAGGGGCCAGGGGCAGAATCGGCCACAGTACCTGACCAGGAGGAGCTGGGGGAGGTCTGGCAGCGGAGGGGGAGCCTGGAGGGAGCCACAGCTGCTGCTGAGAGCCCACCCCAAGAAGAGGGCAGTGCTGGGGAGGCCCAAGGCACCTGTGAAGGGGCGACTGCCCAGGAGGATGGCGCTACTGGAGGTAGGATGTGGACACCACTGTGGATCTTGTCTCGATCATAGCTGTGCAGAGAGAAGTTCTGTAGTTTTCCCCTCAATGTAAATAAGGCCGCAGGTTGCATATTATCTGAATTCCTCACCTTGAGGTTCAGCAGCGGAAGAGAGGCAAGACTGAAAATAGGGTCAGGAAGAGAAAGAAACAGGTAACAAATGTGTGGCAGCTGAAGCCCTTCCTCTAGATTAGGCCTCCTGTTTCAGAGTGGGGAGGCCGAGGGACTTAATCACATAGCAAGGAAGAAGGCAGCATGATTTACATCCAGATGGGCTTGAGTTCAAATTCAGTGCTCTTTTAAAAAATGGATCGTCTATTGCTGAAGTAAGAGGCCTATTAAACAGCAGTCTTCAAACAAATAATGGGTCTCTATTGGGACCTGGGTTTGTAGATACACAACCAAACAGGCTGGCAGCTTCAACCTTAGTGTAATCCTCAAAGGTATGAGAGACACCTAGTCACTCCTTTTTTCTAAAATTTCACAGTGAAAGATAAATGTATGCTATGCATCAAAGGTAATATTTTGTCTTCCACAGTTTAGGAATGTCAGCTAAGTTAGGTGATGCATTCTGATTTGAAGAATGAGCTGTTTTTGTAAGCAAGGTTACACATTTACACCTGCAGTTTGTATTACACTCAGTGAATGCAGCTCTCTTGAATGATTTCTATTAAATGCCTTGTGAGGATGCATTAAAAATCAAAGATCAATTTCATGTGTCTAGCTGGCATAACTCAGAAATAGGAATGGTTTTCTTCTGTAATTTATTTTTCTACCTACATTATCCCCTTCTTTTCTTCCTCCTCCTTTTTTTCTGTTTCCTTTATCATATTGTAGCCACCATGTGACCCTAAAGCATCAGTGTATGACCAGGACAAAGGCCACTGTGGCTGAGGGATGAGGAAGGGGAAGTTGCAGGAGGGGAGGGATACAGGCAGAAGACAGTTCTTCAGGAAGCCCTCTTCTAAGCATTCACCTCCTGTTTATTCTCTTCTTTTGTTTCTAGCTTCTCATATGGGAATGAGACTAAACAGAGAAAAGAAACTAGGCTTGGGATTTATCTTAGGTTTTAAAATTTTTTTATAAAGTCTGTTTTGAAATTGAAAGAGAAAACAATACCTGGTAACTTTCTACCTTTAATCCTAGGTTCTCAAGCCAACGGCCACCAGCCACTGCGATCACTACCTTCAGTGCGCCAGGATGTTAGCCGCTACCAGAGAGTGGACGAGGCTCTCCCCCCAAGTGAGCACCTGTTAGTTAAAAAGGGCCCACCTTAATCAAAGGGTACAAGGTGACAGGCAGACCCATTCCATGAGTCTTAAAAGATGGATACATGGTCTTCAAGCGGAAGGAATCTGGGGGCTGCCACTTGGCATAGCAGGTGTAGCCTGGGAAGTGCCAGGCCAACAACTCTTCTCTAGCACCATTCTGCTGAAAGAAAGGGTAGCTGCACTGCCCATAGGGTAAACATTATAATATGGTGATAGACCCAGATATTTTGGAAAATTGGCTGCATAATAGAATTTTTTTAAATTATGCCTAACCACAGCATGAATGTTCTTTTAGCTGATAGACAAATTAGTACGCTTTCTTAGGAAAAGCTTCACTCTATGTAATATACTGCCTTTTTGTTCACTTACAGCATTTAAAATCATTAAGCACAAGGTTCTAATATTTTTAGGGATATGCAGAGAAGTGTTATTAATTTCAGAAATTAGTCTCCGACTTATTTGGGACATGACAATTATCTGTGGATTTGAAAGACATTTCATTTATTTCGCTTTCAGAAAACACTTAAAGGAGAGATAGATGGTGGAGGATTAGGGATGCTGGGATATAGTTACATAACCTGTATTCAAAGGTATGAGTGATACCCCTGGTCAGTCATAATCCAGATGAAATGTAAGCTCTATTTAAATTTCTAGAGTTCTTTAAAGAGATATAGCTCTGTGAGAGCAATGGATTTTGATGAATATTGGTAAACCCTGGTAAACATTGTTTTTAAAATACACTGGAAGGTGCACCCTTTTGTCTTACCACTTTCTCTTCTTGCTCACCCCCTCCACTTGCCTATCTTACATATGATTATGACAAGAAGCTAATGCCTTGGCTTCTCTGTGTTTTAAAAATGGTGGGACATAAGCGGGGTGTGGTGACACATGCCTGTGATCCCAGCACTTTGGGAGGCCGAGGTGGGCAGATAACCTGAAGTCAGGAGTTCAAGACCAGCCTGGCCAACACGGTGAAATCCCATCTCTACTAAAAAATACAAAAAATTAGCTGGGCAACATGGTGTGTACCTGTAATCCCAGCTACTCAATAGGCTGAGGCAGGAGAATCGCTTGAATCCGGGAGGTGGAAGTTGAGGTGAGCTGAGATGGCACCATTGCACTCCTGCCTGGGCAACAAGAGTGTAACTCCTTCTCAAAAAAAAAAAAAATAGTGGGACATAAAGAGGGGAGGGAATGAATTTAAAGCACTAAAATTCTGAGTGGTTTGTCTGGCAAGTACTGACAAAAGACCTGAACGGTACTATGGAGAGTTTATCAAAATATCAGCTTAATCCTTTTGAAATTCTTTTGGGCACAAATCCTTCCCTTGTTTGTATATTTGTATAACTGAGGGCTATGACTCATAGAAAACATATTTTAAGCAGTTTAAAATAAAATAGACTGAGAGATTAATTAACCTTGTGTTATCTTAAGCAGGTAGAGGGGCCCAGAGACTCAAGAGGGGCACAGAAAACTTCCTTATTGATAAAACAATTGGTAATGCCTTTGAGAAAAGATGAGTCAAAAAAAGGAAAATGTTCCTGGAAGATATTTAGGTATAATTGGAGTAAAACAAATTCAGAACGCTAGGAGAGAGTTCTGGGAGAACTTCATTTTTATGTGTATACATATTAATAGTCATTTAGAGTTTCAGGGGGTTGGACAGGAACATTGCAGAAGTGCATTGATAAATGGCGTCTTCTTAGCCACATCCAATTGCAGTAATTTTTCCTGTGCATAAGTGTGGTCTCCTGATTGTATTTAATAAAGACAGGTACTGTCCTGCTGAAATTATGATCACTGTTTGGGATATCTCAATAAATAGTTTAAATACTGGTGTTTGCATTACACCTGTAGAATACATCTTGGGAAATTTTTTTTACAATTGGCAGTTCATTTTAATGAGCCGATATATTTGCAAAAGTAAAGGAAACTTTGTGACCCATCCTATTTAATCAGTGAGTGACAAGAGGAAAATTCTTAAGATGTGTTCCCTCTAATTCAGAGGTTTTCAGTGGTGGCAGAGGATGCCACCTACTAAGCGATGTTTAGAGCTGAGGTGAAGTGGCCTTTCAGTATAACAGTGTTTGAAGGGTGCCACTGGTATTTAGTTGGTAGGGGCCAGTGTATTAAATGTCCTACAATCGTGAAACAGTCGGATACAACTAAGAATTGTCCCACCCCAAATTGTCCCACCCCAAATTGTGCCCTCTAAGAAACATTTCTCTGTACTAATTTGTTTAATACTTGGTAAATAATATTTTTTAAAAAGTATAAACAGAATTTTTATATTTTAAAAACTCAGAAATGAAGTTGACTACCTCTAAAAATGTAAGTTATACACACACACATTTATATACTCGTGCTATAGGACCAAGCAACTTGCAAATTTGGGGATGTATATTTTCATGGGTAGGCTATGGATTATGGTCTGGGTATGCCTGGTTGCTGTTCAGCTCTGTCTCCCATTCCCATGTGTGTCTCATCCTTATGACAGTGTTTAATCACTTGGCTGCCCTGGCTAGTTGTCTGTCCTTACCTCAGCTGGGCCCCTCCCATCCTTTTCTAACTGGACAACTCTGCTACCACCCCTGGCCATGCGTCTGACTTACATCGGTGGCATCTACACTCTGTGGTGTCTTGTGCTTTCTGAGGCTCATCTAGGGGTGACTGGCTGGAGCGTACAGATTAGTCCGTCTCTTAAATGACCTGGCTGAATTATTTTAAGGCTAACAGTTGTGATTTTTAACACTATTAGTTATCATAGCTTCATTTTTGTGATGCTTTACACTTTACAAAGCACTTTTGCATGCTTTCCTTTATTTTTTGTTCTTTCAATAATTTTGCAAGGTAGGTGAAGCAGGTCTTGTCCATAATTTATAGGTTGTTGCATAGAAGTCAGCTAATCTGATTCTTTTATAGTTGCAGAAACTGAAGCCAAGATAAGTTAAGTAATTTGTTTAAGATCCCATGCAAATAAAAGTTGAGACAGAGTCTCCAATATTCCCTCTCCTGTATCAGGTATTCTGATCTGAGATAGGAAGGGAAGGGTCTATTTTGTGGGTAGATGCAGGTAAATTCTGAAAGTCTGGTTTGAGGCAGAGAGTGCCTTACATGGTGATATGTGTTTTTTGGGCACCAGCAATGCCTCAGTTCAGAGGATTTGGGGGTTTTGCTGAAACTTCAATATACTGCAGTGCTTTGAGGTCAGACCCCCCCCCTCCCCGCCCCAGGAAGACTCAAAAAGTCTGCTCAGCCTTCTCTTTTTCTGGGATAGAGTTATACAAGGAGGCCCTCCCCCAGCAGGCCCCTCACCTATTAGGAAAGTGGCTGCAGTGGTTTTAGCCAGCATCATGTGTCCCAGACAGATATGCTGTATTCAGTATCTGTATCAGACTCAGCAGTACCTTTCCTCTCTGTGCAGGTCACTCTTTTTCTACCCTAGGGACAAGCTTCTGAAGCAGTGTAGTTTGAGCTGCTTTGATGGCCCCCATTTTTTTTCTCTCTGTCACCCAGGCTAGAGTACAGTGGCATGATCATGGTGCACTGCAGCCTCAAACTCAGGGGCTCAAGTCAAGCTCCCTCCTCAGCCTCCTGAGTAGCTGGGACTATAGGCAAGCATGATCATACTTGGCTGATTATGTTTTATGTTTTTATTTTTTGTAGAGACAGGAGTCTCACTATATGTTTCCAGGGCTGGCCTTGAACTCCTGACCTTAAGCAGTCTTCCTGCCTTGGCCTCCCAAAGTGCTGGGATTATAGGTATGAGTCACTTTGCCTGGGCTTGATTCTTTTTTTCTTTTTCTTTATCATTATTATTGTTGTTCTTGTTAGCTCCTTTTCGTCACATTTTCAGGGATTTACTTGTTTGCTTTCTTCTTTTTTCATTCCTATTTCTCCCATCTCAAGATCAGGGAACAGCTCTTGGACTTAGTACTAGGACTGATCAGCAGTGATGGTGATCTACCAACTGGTTCTCAAAATCTTACTCTTGCCTTAGGCCACACAGAGTGCACCGTGGACTTGTAGCATGTGTAACTCCAGCTCTGGTTGAGAGATATTCTAATGATTCATAAAAAATAAGAAAGCGCCAGGCCTTGGAGGCAGGATGACACTGTTGAGAAACTTCCAGGGAAGTAGCTTGGACTCAATTATGCACAGAATACCTTAAGAATTTGCTGTATCTTCTCATCCTGAGGTTATTGATGGTCTTGGCAGCTAGAGGTAGTTCAGGGCTGAAGCCCTCTAGAATATTATTGGCATGACAAATATTGGTCTTTTTAGCATTAAGATGAGTGGTAAAACAATCACCAGCCCAGCTCCTCTGAAAAACAATTTTCTTTTTCTCTTATTGATTCCCGTGTAATTGCGACTTAACCCATTGCTTCATTGGAGACAATATGGAAGTGTTATATAAACGTATTTCCCCAAAAGTGGTAGTTTTCTAGGAATATGACTAGATTCAGGATGAACAGTCTGGGTTGGTGGACTCTGATAGAAATCCAGTATGTTGCATATTGTTAGAGCTAGTCTATTCCTTATGTGAGGGATTCAAATGGGCAGTTCTGGGCAACTACAGGGAAACAGTTATCATTTCTTGTGGTTTTATACATTCATTGTTAAAGTGTTTTTTTAAATGATGGCCTAAAATCATGCAGTGAATCTGAAAAGTATAATTAATCTAGACTTAAAAGTTTCCACTATGTTTAGGGTCAGGACCTCTTATTCTCTAAGCCTACAACTTTGTTTCCAGGAAAAAAAAATGGATACTTTTAATTTAAAAAGCTACTTTATTAAAAATTGAAGATTAAAGTGCCAAAAATGCAACTACTTGACTTTTTTTTTTTTTTTTTGAGACGGAGTTTCGCTCTTATTACCCAGGCTGGAGTGCAATGGCGCGATCTCGGCTCACCGCAACCTCCGCCTCCTGGATTCAGGCAATTCTCCTGCCTCAGCCTCCTCAGTAGCTGGGATTACAGGCACGCGCCACCATGCCCAGCTGATTTTTTGTATTTTTAGTAGAGACGGGGTTTCACCATGTTGACGAGGATGGTCTCGATCTCTTGACCTCATGATCCACCCGCCTCGGCCTAACTACTTGACTTTTTAACCAACTTTTTGCTCAAATAAAATAGAAATGAGCACATATGTACTGGTGAAATCCTTCTATTGAAAGCACATGGCAGCCACACCATCAGCATCTAGAAGTCCCGTTTGTACCCCCTTTCAATCATTGACCCCAACTCTGTATGAGGAAATGGGCCTACCATTCTGATTCCTAAAGTCATAGATAAGTTTAGCGTACTTTTATACTTCATACAAATGGAATTTTACTTCCTGAGTGTTCAAATAAGAAAAAAATGATCTTTTAAACACTGCCATCTGTCATTTATCACAAAGCTTATAATTTTCCTTGAAAGTTCCTTTAGTTCATTAGAACTTAATCATTTTTCCATTTTAATGATGGTACCTGTGGTTATTACAGTTTTTTATAGCGGATTTATACATTTACTTCATAACATTCAGATGTTTGATTTTAATATATCCAATATAACCAATTCAAAACTCTACCCATAGGCCCCCATACCCCAAATATGTAATTCATCTGTTTAGTTGTTGACTTTCTCAGTATCAGCGTTCACTGAGATGTATTCACAGCTCATCTGATCATGAGCTCAGTGGTCTAGTGAAGATAGAGTCTAGTTTGAAGGGCATGGGAAAGGATGATGAGGTAAGCAGAGGAACCATGGGGTATCTAAAAATCCACTTGCTCCTGGACTTTAGTTTGGGATATTTAGGCTGAGGCTTAGGTTTTCTGGTTTTTTTGTTTGTTTGTTTGTTTTTGTTTTTGAGATGGAATCTAACTCTGTCTCCCAGGCTGGAGTGCAGTGGCATGATCTCAGATCACTGCAGCCTCTGCCTCCCAGGTTCAAGCAATTCTCCTGTATCAGCTCCCTGGGAATACAGGCTTGCACCACCACGTCCAGCTGATTTTTATATTTTTAGTAGAGATAGGGTTTCACCATGTTGGCCAGGCTGATCTCAAACTCCTGCCCTCAGGTGATGTACCTACCTTGGCCTCCCAAAGTGCTGGGATTACAGGTATGAGCCACCGCGCCCAGTTGAGATTTAGTTTCTTGTGAGCCCACATTTCATGGTCTCTGAGAAATCTAGCATTTGCTTCATGGGTTTGTCCAGCAAATGAGTTACAGTTTTAAGTTCTTATTAATTTGTGTCAGTGTTCCTCAAATTTTAGGATGTCTAGGAATGAGAAGATTGTTAAAAATGTAGATAACTGAGCCCTAGATTTAGCTAGTCTGATTCTGAAGACCTGGGGCACATCATAGGAATCTGCATTTTTATTGATCCTCAAAGTGATTCTGGCACATGTTGTCAGAGTCCCACCTGCCTTGAGAAACATTTCTCTAGGTAATAGTTTTCAAACTTTATTATTGTCATGAAGCTGTTTATCCAAGTGAACTGTTATGTGGAACACCAGTATACACAACAATAATATTGGAGAAGCCATGACTAAAATAGGATTGGCAGGTGTTTCTGGAGCCCTGTCCCTCGGAGACTCAACACCCCTGGCCCTGTAAGGTTCAATTAGTTTAGTTTGTAAGTTCTAGCCTAGACATAAAATGTTACTAGGTTTTATCTGAGCCTAATATGATAAAATGGGCTTCACTTTATAGATTCATAGAATACTAGAACTGGAAGCGACCTTGCAATTGTTTGATTCTGTCCTCTAATTTTTTCAAAACTGTGATTCATAGAGGTGTAGTGACTTTTTTTGAGGTCTTGTAGCAAAAGTGTGACAAACCACAGCCAGCCTTCTACCTCCCAATTCAGTGCAAAACCATACCCCACACACACACTCCAAAACATTGCTCTCAGTCTCACTGTACCCTGATTATATAACCTATTTGACAATGTGGGAAGACAAGGAAGTAAATGTTAAGCTCCCAGTCTTCTAACTCTGCCTATGTCATTTTAGCATTGTCTATCTGAGAGAAACTTTGATGCTATCAAATGAGTTCTCATATGCTTTCTTATACCAAAAGCAAACCAGGCCCAATATAAAGACATATAAGACATTGGAGCAGTTGTACTCAACCAAGTAACTTTGATAGATACCACAGAGAGCTAACTTTCCTGCAGGCAACTCTGCTGCCTTTGCCAGGGAAGAATGATACTGACAGGGTGGGTAGAAGTGGATATGTAGTTCATGGATAAATCAATAGCATAACAGCCTTTCCTGATTCAGGGCCAAGCATTCACTTGAAATCAGCAGTATAGAATTTGTCTTTATGGGGACTCAAGTAATTACATCAATATAAAGATATAATATTTGATAGGGATAATTTTAATATGCACTCAGTGTTCCATGACCTTAGAAAGCAAATTTTTGGTCCTTGTTTTCTTATTCTCCCCATTGCACATAGAAAAGTCTTTATTGAGCTATAAATTAAGGCTATTACTGGCCTTTGGGGAAGGTGAATACACGAATCATTTTTTAATGTGGCTTTGTGTCATTTTAAATTATTTTTTCATTTATTACATGCTATATGCAAGACACTTTTATTTGGCTGTTCTATCTTCTACCTCCCCATCTTGCTAAACATATAGACCTCAAGCACACCACATTCATACTTCACTTAGTAAATTCTTACTTTGTTAGTTCCAGGAAAAAAATTCCATCTTTGAGGATTTTTTTTTTTTACTGTTTTTGTCAGAAAATGGAAAGTATGCAACAATGTCTTTTCTTTACTGCCATAACTGCCAGAAAACTGAGAGCCAAATTTTAGTAATAATCTAATCTTGGGAGTTTGGCAGCATTTCCTCTCTCTGTTTCCTTTAGTTGGTCTAGTTGGTTTCTATTTTTTTATCCTGAATTGACCTATTCTACATTTTTTTAAAATTTGGGGGGCTACTGTAAACATTCTTCGGAGGATTGGTCATTTGTTTTCATGTGCATTTGATTTGATGTCTATGTGCCTGAATTACCCTGACTCTAATGAGAAAGGAATGAGATGGGGGTAATAGATTTCCCAAATCTTTCAGATAGAAAAGCATGTAAGGAGGAGAGCCAGACAGTGAAATATATCAAAGTGTTTTGAAAAATGGTTCCTGAAGATGCTTTAATATACTTGCTATTTGTCAGCATGTCAACAGGCTAAGCATGAGGTTTTTTGGAAATGTCTTATTGATGGGACTGTAGCTGTGCCCAAAGAATTCATATTTGGCAGGCTGTTTCATGGTGACTCTGTTACCTTGGAGCATGAGTGGCATTGAGTTGTTTGCTGTCTGTGTGGTGCTTTTCCTCAGCCCAATTTTTCTTTCTTTTGTCATTTGTCATAAATTACAATGTGTTGAGATCAACAAAAGATGTCTTTCTGTTCCCAGCTGAGCTGGGATGGTCTGGTGCAGTGATGGTCTGGTGCAGGCTGAGCTATCCTGTGCAGGTCTTTCCAACCCTAAGGACTCTGTTGGAAAACTTGCCCTGTTCCTTTACAGAGCAAATGCCAACCCCACTGTGACTGTTGATAAGCCATGTGATTACATGGACAGTTTCGAGATAATTGAACTGCTCAGGAGAAAAATGCTTGTTAATTTCAATAATAATAATAACTTACATAGAAATATATATGTACAAAGAGCTTTGCTGGTTAAAGAATGAATTTCTGCTTTTTTCATGTTTTCTGTGTAAATTACCCTTCCCAACTGCAGTAAGTTTCAAAATTTGGCCTTTTGAAAAGATCAACTCATGCTCTGTGGATTTCAGTAGGGGAATAGCCTTTTAGAGAATCACAAAGGTGGGGTGTCTGACCCTGAAGAACAGTCTGTTGTCTTTACATGCATTTACATATTTGTCTACACAGGTTTAACACACTTAAAAATAAAATTAATCTTTTAAAACATTATGTTTATTTGAGGTTGGGAGGCAAGAAATTGCCCTTGCTCTGAAAATGTACTCATCTTTGGGAAAGTGCAAGTAGAAGTTTGTAGATAATGATCACTAGGCAAGCATTAATTCGTTATTTTTTTTCTGAAGACTAAATTTATTGTAATTGTGCAGGAATATGCATGTGGAAGTTTCCGCTATGAGTTTTTCACTGGAGCTAGAAAAGACATGGAAAAATCAGTTTTTTGGTGAAAATAAACATCAATACCCATTTTGATGTGAACATCTGAAGTATTATGAAACCAACTACATATATTTTTAAAATTCTGAGGCTCATATATGAAGGGTGAGCATTGTGGGCAAATTTAGAAAGATTCTCTACATTTAAAGATGATTTAAGGAATTGGTACTGTATGCACAGGATAGGCTTAATAATCAGTCACAGCAGATTCTGGAGTGGACTGGGGAGAAGTATGGGATAGTGCGGTGAGATGTACATTATTAGTCTCAGATGATAGCATGTCAGAGAAAGAAAACATATACTGAACTTAATGAACCACATTAATGGTCTCAGCTCCTCCTCTTAATTCCTCTCGGTGCCTCACTGCTGTTTAGACTGGGAGGCACGCATTGACAGCCACGGCAGGATCTTCTACGTGGATCACGTAAACAGAACCACGACGTGGCAGCGACCGACGGCTCCCCCAGCCCCTCAGGTGCTGCAGAGATCTAACTCCATACAGCAAATGGAGCAGCTGAACCGGCGGTGAGGATGAGCATTTTGCTGTGACTGTTGTATTTTGTGGTTGGGCTAATTTTTACTTGGCACAAAGTAGAAGACATTGTTATCTCTTTCATCTTTAGATGTCCTGTCATTAAAGTGTAGCTGTTACCTCTTTTGATTCCCAGACTTCACTGGACTTCTCTTGGTTAAAAATAATAATAATACTCACCCACATATATACCTTGTTTGGAAACCAGAGAACAAACAAATGAATATGACCCCTTTAGTCAACCCAATAATTGATCTTTAGTAAAGCAGAACATATACATTTGTTATTTAAAGCCAAATATCTTTTTTAGTCTCTAGAATCTTTGTGGCTTACCATTATTATCAACCTAAGCTTTTTAGATCAGTCATTCTTTTTCAAGAATTAATTGCTGTAGAACATAAAGGTTTTTTTTTTTTTTTTTCCTTTAACAATATAGAAATTTACTTTTTTTCGGTTAAGGGACACAGAATTTAGTGTTATTAATTTGGCAGGAAAATGTTCCCCAAATAGTGGACAGAAGAAATTTAATGCACTGTAATTTAGTTAAACAGCAGATGAAGAAGTCCAGGGAATGGAGGTTGGAGGAAGAAACAGTTGAAGCCGAGAAGATGGTGAAAAGTTCTAGACTTTTGGGAAGCAGTTGAGTCCCATCTTTTAAAGGCTGCTGGAATGTAACCCTAGGCTCATGATTTTAGATATCAGAGTATCCGCAGAACCATGACCAATGAGAGGCCTGAGGAAAATACTAATGCTATTGATGGGGCAGGGGAGGAAGCTGACTTTCACCAAGCCAGTGCAGGTAAGAGCTTTGGGCTTTGTTTTTGTAATTTCATAAAAGTTGAAAAAAAAATTAGGACTTTCAACAAATGAGGCTTTTCATTTTGATAACTTTTGCTTTTCAATAATGTCTGGTAATGAAACTCAAAAAACAATTCACCAGAAACCTCTTCTAATCCTCAACTTTTAATTAATATTAAGAGAGGTATGACAAAACCCAAGTAGAATATAAATTAATTTCTTGATCTGTGGGATATTGGAAAAAGAATCAGATCATTTAAAACATGTAAGAATGCACTAAAATGTCAATAGTGACTAGAAATATTACTTAATTCAATTTTAGTGCAGTTAAGAACAGTCAGGTTTTATGTATGGATTTATAGCAAAGAAAAAAAGCATTGGGAGATTAAAATGATAGCACATGATGTAGGTATCCTAGGGTTCTTTTGAAATATAGACTGAAGTGAGTAGATGTTTTCACTCATAGAAAGATTTTGCTGACAGCCTCTGTGGTCTGCCCCGTCTAGATTTCCGACGGGAGAACATCCTGCCTCACTCTACCTCCAGATCCAGGCTCACGTTGCTGTTACAGTCTCCCCCCGTGAAGTTCCTCATCAGCCCAGAGTTCTTCACCGTGCTGCATTCTAACCCTGTGAGTAGTGAATCTGAAAGAACGTGAAGAAAAGCAACAGGCCAAAGAAAATGATCCTTGTTTTTGTAATAATAGTAGGAATGATAATGGTGACTGTTTCCTGAGCACTTAGTGTGTTTCGAGCCCTGTACCGAGCACTGTACACTTCAACCTGTTTAGTCCAAAGAAACCGTTTGAATTCACTGAGTTGCTATAACAAAGCACCGTAAGCTGGGTGGCCTATAGCAGCAGAAATTTATTTCTCGTGGTTCTGGAGCTGCGAAGACCAAGATCGAGGCACTAGCAGATACCATGTCTGACGACAGCCCATTTTCTAGTTTGTAGATGGCCATGTTCTCCTTCCATCTTCATATGGTCTAAGGGCTGAGAGCTCTCTCTCAGGCTTCTTTTATAATGTTATTAATTTCTAATTACATCTTAGGTCACCTCCTACCCCCACCTCCTAATCCTAGTAATATTATATTAGTGATTAGGTTTCAACATATGAACTTTGGGGGGCACAAACATTGGACTCGTAACAGGAAGTTTACCCCATGAGTCTCTGAGGGCTGAGGGAGTGGATTGCTGAAGGTAGTAATTAGAGGAAGGCCATCTTAACTGCACATGGAGTGATTTCGAATGAGGGGAACATTGGCCGTGGAAGTCTGTCTGGATTTAATCCATTCATCATGGCATGTGTTGTTAGGAGCCTGGACTAGGACTAGGAGATAAGAAAATAGAGAAAAAGGATTCTGCGTGAGAGGAATTGCAGGCAGGGATTTGGCAAGATTTGGTGGATAAATAGGTAGAATAGAAACTGAAGAAGTTGATCTTAAATGTTAATAATAATAATACCTAAATAATGAACAATACATAATTAATAATGCTAGGAAAATTCAAATGAGGGATTTGTTAAAGGAATTGAAGGAAAACATACTGAATTTAACAAGACATCATGCACTTTAGGAAAAACAGAGTAGACCATAGAGAAAAATAAAAATCAACATAGTCCTATCCCCAGGAGCTGGTGATGAGGTAATTAGTATATATTAATACCTGTTTATTTATATTAATATATTTCTGCCTTACTTCTTCAGCTTTGTTTTACAAGTGTAAACATCTTTCTGATTTTCCTTATCATTGTCTCCTGGTTTACAGGTTTAGCATGGAGCAGAGAAGACTTGGAAGGGGAGTAAGCAATGAATAACATGCTAGCTGTCCTCATGTATTATGCAAGAGGGGTTCGATTTATTGAGCACTCAGCTTAGCAAGTTTGTTGATTATTATGTACAAGGCACTGAACTAAGACCTAGGGATACAGAGATGACAGTAACTGTGGGCCCTGACATCCCAGACTTGAGAGTAATTATAATGTCATGACCAGAATAACAAGTGCAGTAATGAATGGCTATACACTGCTGGAGTGGGCAATTAACTCCAAAGGGAAGGCACGTGGAAGAAGCCATAGACAAGTTTGCATTTGAGATGAGTTTTAAAGGCTGCTTAGGAGCTTGCCCCAGAAACAAGATGGGCAGGAGTACTCTAGGCAGAAGGAGCATCTTTTATAAAACAATAGATTCATGAAGCTACTGGGCTGTCTTGATAATTACTGCAGAAGCTCTAAACCTGGATTATTAGTACTATATAGCAACTCGGTGTTGCTGGTATATTGAGAACATAGGACACTAGTGAAAGTCAGATTTGAGCCTGGGAAGGGAAACAGAAGCCAGGTTACACAAACTTAAACTCGTGTATGGGACAATTCTGGGAGGTGACAGCCTTTCATACAAGACAGAATGGGCTAACATTTAGAGTTGTCACTGTAGCACAGAGAAAAAAATCATGCTTTAATTGGAAGAGCACAGACGGCACAAACTCTCCTTTGTTTTTTGTTCATTTGTTCATGCCTTCATTTAATCAGTATTTACTAAATGCCTGTGATTTGCCTGGTACATTCTAGACTCTGGGAATAGAGTGGTAAACAAGACAGAGTAGACTATAGCTAACAGACTAGTGAATAAAAAAGATAATGCAGGTACTATAGTGTGGCATGAGGCAACTGAAACCACACACTGGGATAGTTACTTGGGGATGAGGTAGAGGAGGCACTATTTTATTTTTATTTATTTTTTAATCTCAAAATCTCACAGGGAGGCACTATTTTAGATTAGGTGGACAGGAAGGCCTTTCCAAGGGAGCCACATTCAAGCTGTCATAAAATGTCCAGAAACCGATAAGGTAAATGTCTGAGAACAGAACCTACCTTGCTAAGGAAGTGCAGAGACTCACGGGCAGGAATGAGTTTGCTGTGGTACATAATACAGTCAGGGAAGCAAGCAGGGTTACAGAAGGTAGGGCTTACATGATCTGGCCAGGCATTTGGGCTTTATTCTAACAGCATTTTCCATATGGGAGTAATTTAGAGTTTTTAAAGTTACTTCTAGCTGTTATGCAAAGAATGGGTTTTAGAGGGCAAGATTGACATCAGGGAGACTAAGTGAAAAGGTCCTGCAGTAACACATGGAAGTGGCTTCGGCTAATGCAGTTAGCAGCAGTGACGGTGACAAGTGCATGAATATGGGATATATTTTGAAAAGATAGTTGACATTCTTGTTAATAGATTGGAGTATGGGATAGGAGAAAAAAGGGCTTCAAGAAGGAGCAACTGTAGCTAGACTAATAAAGAAGAAAAGAGATAAGAATCAAATAAACACGCTCAGAAATGATAGGGGACATATTAACAGTGACCCCACAGAAATAAAAATAACTATCAGAGAATACTGTAACACCTCTATAAACACAAACTAGAAAATCTGGAAGAAATGGATAAATTCTTGGACACATACATCCTCCCAAGACTGAACCAGGAAGAAATTGAATCTGTGAATAGAACAATAATGAGTTCTGAAATTGAGACAGACATAAATGGTCTGTCAGCCAAAAAAAGCCCAGGATCAGTTGGATTCACAGCTGAATTCTACCAGAGATACAAAAAAGAGCTGGTACCATTTCTACTGAAATGACTCCAAAAAAATTGAAAAGGAGGGGCTCCTCTCTAACTCATTATATGAGGCCAGCATCATCTTGGCGCCAAAACCTGGAGAAGATATAACAGAAAAAGAAAACTTCAGGCCAATATCCTTGATGAGCATTGATGTAAAATTCTCGATAAAATACTAGAATCCAGCAGCACATCAAAAAATTATCCACTACAATCAAGTTGGCTTTATTTCCAGGATGCAAGGTTGGTTCAACATATGCAAATCAATAAATGTGATTCATCACATAAACAGAACTAAAGGCAGAAACAGAATCACAATAAATGTGATTCATCACATAAACAGAACTAAAGACAGAAACATATGATTATCTCAATAAATGCAGAAAAGGCCTTCAATAAAATTTAACATCCCTTCATGTTAAAAACTCTCAATCAACTAGTTATTGAAAGAACATACCTCAAAGTAGTAAGAGCCGTATATGACAAACCAACAGCCAATATCGTGCTCAATGGGCAAAAGCTGGAAGGATTCTCCTTGAAAACCAGCACAAGGCAAGGATGCCCTCTGTTGCCACTCCTATTCAACATAGTATTGGAAGTTCTGGCCAGGGCAATCAGGCAAGAGAAAGAAATAAAGGGTATTCAGCTAGAAAGAAAGAAAGTCAAATTATCTTTATTTGCAGATGACATGATTCTGTATCTAGAAAACCCAATCATCTCAGCCCAAAAGCTTCTTAAGCTGATAAGCAACTTCAGCAAAGTCTCAGAATACAAAATCAATTGGTCAAAAATTGCTAGCATTCCTATACACCAACAATGCGCAAGCAGAGAGCCAAATTATGAATGAACTCCCATTCACAACTGCCACAAAAAGAATAAAATACCTAGGAATATGGCTAACAAGGGAAATCGAGGACTTCTTCAAGGAGAACCACAAACCACTGCTCAAAAAGAAATCAGAGAGGACACAAACAAAAGGAAAAACATTCCATGCTCACGAATAGGAAGAATCAATATTATGAAAATGACCATACTGCCTAAAGTAATTTATAGATTCAGTGCTATTCCCATTAAACTACCATTGACATTCTTCACAGAATTAGAAAAAAACTATTTTAAAATTCACATGGAACCAAAAAGGAGCCTGAGTAGTCAAGACAATCCTAAACAACAAGAACAAACATGGAGGCATCACACTTCCTGATCTTCATTTGATCTTCAACAAACCTGACAAAAACAGGCAATGCGGAAAGGATTGATTCCCTAGTTAGCAAATGGTGCTGGGAGAACTGGCTAGCCATATGCAAAAAATTGAAACTGGACCCTTTCCTTACATTATGTACAAAAATTAACTCAAGATGGATTAAAGACTTAAATGTAAAACTGAAAATTCTAAAAACCCTAGAAAAAATTCTAGGCAATACTATTCAGGATGTAGGCACAGGCAAAGATTTCATGACGAAAATGCCAAAAGCAATTGCCACAAAAGCAAAAATTGACAGATGGGATCTAATTAAACTAAAGAGCTTCTACACAGCAAAAGAAACTATCATCAGAGTGAACAGTCTACAGAATGGGAGAAAATTTTTGCAGTCTGTTTATGTGACAAAGGTCTAATGTCCAGATTCTACAAAGAACTTAAACAATTATTTACAAGAAAAAAAAAACCATTAAAAAGTGGGCAAAGGACATGAATAGACATTTCTCAAAAGAAGACATACATGTGGCCAATAAACATATGAAAAAAAGCTCGACATCACTGATCATTATAGAAATGCAAATCAAAACCACAATGAGATGTTATTTCATGCAAGTCAGAATGGCCATTGTGGAAAAGTCAGAACACAACAGATGCTTGTGAGGTTATGGAGATAATGGAACACTTTTACACTGTCAGTGGGAGTGTAAATTAGTTCAACCATTGTGAAAGACAGTGTGGTGATTCCTCAAAGATCTAGAACCAGAAATACCATTTGACCCAACAGTCCCATTACTGGATATATAACTAAAGGAATATAAA